CACATAAACTAATTTATTCCATTAAGTAGAACAGCTAATCCGATGATTTACATTGGTAAGTGTATGTAAGAGAACGGCTTCACAGCGTCCGTATATTGCAAAGTTAACTTTTTTCTATCAAATTCGTTTGACAAGAAAAAAGATCATGTTAAAACGCTTTCCACTCCTTATCTCACCTTTAAAATTCCCACTCCTCACTTGATCATTTAAGAGTCCTGAGTATACAAACGAGCGAGTTTGTTCTAATATGCAGCGAAGCTAGCAGAATGATGTAAATTAATAAATCTGTGCGGAGAAAAATGACTCACAACTTAACTAAACTGCAAAGCTAAGAGCTTACCATTCACCGTGACCATAACAAATGGACTGACTTCTGTTCCTAAAGAGTTGTTCGCCATACATTTATACGTGAACACTCCTCCATTTAACACGTTCCTTTTCCACATTCCTGAAGGGTCTGCGTCTAAGATAGCAGTGTCATTCTCAAACAGCTGGTATGACGTCACTGATGGACGGGCATAAGCTGAGCAGTTAAAGCCAATCATATCACCCTTACATGCTTTGTTATCCATGACAGATGTTTTCAATTGCACATTCTCTGGTTTGTCTACAAGAGTTACAGACAAATTTTATAAAATATTGTAGTTGGTAGAATTCTCACTGCAGCCCTGTTTTTATTATTTACACGTAAATTTGCATGGGCGTCAACAAAGGAATTAATAGAACAACATACTTTACAGTTCTGTAAGATGTAAAACATTGAGTTGGTAGTTTAATGTACATAAATCAGTGTAAAAATAAAACAAAAATTATTGGATAATTTTATAAAGTAGCAGAGCAAGACTAAACATGATATGATAAAAGTCGTAAGATGAAGCGATTACTTTACGATGACCCTTTGGTGTTTGCATGAGAGAGGTCTGACTGTATTACAAATTATATGCCTTAATCTGTGTAAAACTACCGATACCGTAATCCCAATTCATACAAAATGTGCACATGTACATTACACATGTAATAATAGCCATCGTCATGGACTTACAAAACACGCAGATAAACGTAAACTTTTAAGGAAAAGGAACTGTCAAACTTACGCAGCAAAATAATGTTTGCTGTCTCTGCTGCATTGCCACATTCATTACTGGCTTCACATTTGTATTCACCCGCTTGAGTCCTGTTAATATTTGTAACCTCCAACTTGTATCCACTAACATGCTGACTATCAGGCGTCATCCAAGACACCATTGGTAGAGGAATTCCAGATACATTACACATAAGAGTCACATTGTGACCTTCAGTTACATTCTGATCTTGTGTTATTTGGACAATTGAAGAAGGAACTGCAAAATGTGAAAATGAGGATAGGTGTAAATAGCAGCCTGCCACTGGCTTGTGGCCTTAAACACATAGATCATAGCTTCCCTAATATAAATGTACTTTTAGTCCTCTTCAACTCGATTGCCATTTACATATAAGAACATAAGAATATGCACATATACACTTGATTGCAAAAATGTTGACACCCAAAAAATGTTGTCAATAAGCGATGAGACCCAGCAGCTCTATGGTTAAAAATTTACATGATAACCTTATTTACATATTGTTGCATGAAGCAAATGATAGAAGCCTCAATGTTTTTGTGAAAGAAAAGAATCATCATCAACAGAGACTTGCCATAAATAATGGAATGCCATTGAGCAAACATTTCCCATAAGGCCGTTGAGTCTCATCAATCACGGATCCTGTGTCAACATTTTTATAATGGAATGTCTGTACACTCATGCAAATGCTGTCTTTATGTGTGCAGTTTTTCAAATTGTTCTCAAACAAACATAACTTGGACTATTTTGCTTACCATTCACGGTGACAGTAACACCCATGCTGTATTCTGATCCTACAGAGTTATTGGCCACACATTTGTAAACAAAAACCCCTTCACTCTCCAAAGTCTTGGTCC